AAAAACTACTTAATTACTGTAACGTGAGTATTTGTAATTCGTTACTTCACACCCCTGCACGTTAGGTTTCTCTATAGATGTGAATCACTCAACCGGAGGTAATCCTGTCAGATCATCCATGCTTTGAGCTAGCGTGTAGGGTCGGCCAATCTGGTTTCTTCCGTTAAAGTTAACCTTTTCAAATAACAGTCGCGATCCCGGACAGCGAGTTCCTTTACATATGCAGGTAAAATCGGATTTTCTCCAGTCATTGTTAAAAAAAAAACAGCAAAAACAAGCTAACAAGCTTCATAGCTAGCGTTAGTGAAGCGGTCAGGGGAATCTTTCTGCCTCCACCTAAGCTCCGCCCACAGAAAAACGTCACAATGTTTACTAACAGAAAAAAGGTCTATAGAAAGCAGGATTGGTATTTATCTTCTTTGATGGGTGACAGTTATAGTGATATCATCCTGTATTCTTAATGCATGCATTGTATCATAACAGGGTACAATCTATGTATAGTTCTATTATTCTATCTATCTATCTATCTATCTATCCATCTGTCTGTCTGTCTGTCTGTCATTCTATCATTCTATCGTTCCATCTATCTATCTATCTATCTATCCATCTATCCATCTATCCATCTATCTATCCATCCATCCATCCATCCATCTATCCATTTGTCCATTCCTCCATCTGTCTATCTATCTGCGTACCTCTATGTCGTTCTATCCATCGTTCTATCTGTCATTATATGTATTCTGTCAAATCAGTCTATTCTTCTATCAGGCTTTCCATCTATGCATTAATTGTTTCACCTATAATTCTGTCTTTATGACTGTCTGTCTTGAAAATGGGAAATAATAGCATATAAATATCCAATAGACTTTAGGTATACCAATGAATTATTTAAAGTACAAATAAAATATTTCTCACTATACAAATCAAAAAGTGACCCAGAACTATAAAAAAGTGAGAGTGAATAAGATGTTGTTATAATAAAAACATTAAAAAGTAACATTAAATCATTTCAACAGAGGCTGTATGCAGAAACTCAACACCTCAAAAATATAATAATAATAAATTATTATAAATATATGAGTAATAGTTATACACAGATGACGCACCCAAGTTCAACAGAATTTGGGCTTGTACTAGTTTAGTATATTGTTTCTGCCACTTTGTATTCATTATAGTCTATACAGTGTCTTGTGAAGTATAGCAGTGGGCCTGTATGACCCCATTTACCCCTCTTCAAGAGCAAAGGTTAAATCTCCGGCTATGTGTTCTTGCTGTTAGATCTTTTTAAAAAGCCTAGTAGTTTAATATGCATTTCTGACACTGCTCATGCAACATCTTTCACTCAGTCTCCTAAAGACCTTGACACTATATGAAACACATCCATCACTTCATATTTTTCATATGGATTTACATCAGCAAATGGCCTGTTGAAGGTCAGCAGTAATCACGCCACTCTGGTGTGCGAGATGCACACAGCCATTTCGCGGTCCGCCCTCGGCATCACCTCAAATCCAGACATCAGATTTGAGACTTGCTTACGCTTCCTCCGCTCTCATCTGGCAGGAGGGGCATCTATTTAGCAGCAGTTCATCTGTGAGATGAATCTGAGGGAAAGGTCAAATCTCGCTTCATCAGAAACCTGTTTGGCCCTCACAGCCGGAGATGGGAAGGGACAGACGGCTGTTCTGGCTGCTATGTGGGAAACAAACTAGCCTGTTGGAAACTAATGAGAGGGAGAGGTGGGAAAACTGAGGTGAATGACAGAGGGGAAGGAAGGTTCAGTCCCCCAGCGTTCAGGCATGTCCCCCAAGCTCAGCTGAATACCAATGTGTCCATGCATGAGATTGAGGGACTAATATAAGGAATGTGAGCAGTGATCCATGTCCTTTATTTCCCTTTCTCTTTCTTTAGTTCTTTCTCCTTTTGCATTCTTACAAAGTTGAATTAAATATTTTTCTTCATTTTGTACATTATATATACACTGTAAAAAATGTTTAATCTATAGTAACATATACATATGATAATATCCAACATTGGAGTGCTTTATATAAGCTACTATAAATTTTATTATTGAGCAAGGACACACTGATCAAAGGTAACTGCAAAGCCATTTTTAATGTTACAAAAGATTTCTGTTTCTAAATAAATGCTTTTCTTTTTGAACTATTCTATTTATCAATAAATCATAATGCTGAAAACTCAGCTTTTCTATCACAGGAATAAATTACTTACTAAATTAATTACTAATTACAAAAATTGAAAACTACATAATCCCATTTCCACCACAGAATATAAAAAGGTAATTGCAACTTTTTATCTCTCAATTCTGACTGTTTTTCTGAGAAAAAAAGTCTGAATTGTGAGATATAAATTCAGAATTGTGAAATATAAACTTGGAACTCTGATAAAAAAGTCAGAATTGCAAGATATGAACTCAATTGAACACAATTCCAAGATTACATGTTCCATACATATTTTAATTATAGGTTTACATCTCAACAATATTTTTCCCCATGGAATAGTCTGACTTCATTTTGACTTGCAATTGGGAGTTTACATCTCACAATTCAGACTTTTCTTCTCAGAATTGCAAGTTTATATCTCGCAATTCTGAAAACAGTTCTGAATTGTGAAATACTAAACTCAGAATTGTGAGGAAAAAGACGCATGAAAGATGCGCATGAAAAGATCATTTTTTATCCTGTCGCGGAAACAAGCTTCCATAGAAAATAGTTATTTTAAATTGTAATAATATTTCACAATATTGCCGTTTTAATTTTATTTTTGGTCAAATAAATGTGGCATTGATGAGCATAAGAAACAACTTTCAAAAACATTTTAAAACATTGTGCTGATTGTATATAAATATGACTTTTAATGAGAGTCATTCTGAAAATTTTTAATTTTCATGTTGATTCTCCTTTTCTGTTCCATGGAGTAAAGAAAGTAATTTGGGTTTAGAATCTGAAGATCTTTTATAAACTATTTCTTTAATCTCTAACTGGTGGCTGAAGTTTGATAATGTATATTTTTCCCTGACTGAAAATGTATTACTGAGGCAAAACTTCAAGCATGAAAATGATAAAACAGTAATGACAGAATTTTAATTATGAGGTCAAACAGATCTCTCTGTGATTAATGTGCAGCAAACCCCCATTGATACTGTCCTGCCTATAGCAGTGCTTTGCCTACAGCTGTCTGTATCTCCTTCATCTTGTATTAGAAACCAATACTGAAAACATAATGCCTGCATTTGAACATCTATATTTGAATCCAGAAATGATCAAATAGATTAACTTTGTCAAGTGACTGAACACAATACAAAAACAAATCACCAAAATGGGCAGAAGAAATCACATTGCGAGTCTTTCTCTTTTAGTGTCAGCGTGTTAGCAAATGGTAAACTATTCAAAAATTATGCCATGTGATTTATCATCGCCTAGGTGCATTATCATCACAAAGTCCTACATGCTACATCTATAAGGCTGCGCAGATATCCCATCAGGCAGGGTTTAGAACAACATAATGCAATTTATTTTTCATCTCTTCAGTTCTATCTTCTCCTGTTTTATCAAAGTCATCAAGTGTTTTTTATTTATTTAGTCTGGACCGTAACAACTCCAGGAGCTGTTGTCTTCTGCTCCCTGTTTTATTCCCCTCTTTCTGGGCTGCTGGTGTCCTTCCAGTGCCCTTCTTCTGCTCTCTTTATCTCCTCAGAACATCTGCCTCGGCGGCAGGTTGCAGGTGGTGGTGGAGTGGATGTCCCCTGGCTCTCTTACACTCTCTTAAGCTTCTGTCTTGTACTGATCCATGGACACGCTAAACTGCTGACCCTCACTTTATGTCCTCACTCTGACTCTCCCTTTGGCTGGCTGCAGTGTGTCGCCGGCCAGCGCCATCCTGCATTATGTTTAGTGTGAAGATAGCTAGGAACTAAATGGACGGAATGTACTTCTAAATTTTAAGCTAAAAAGTTTCAAAGTTTAAGCTACGTGCAGTACAGTACGTCCAATTCATACCAATACAGATACAGATAGAAAGACTGACTTCACTGTTGAACATGGTGATTATATCTGGGTGTCTCTTAAACTATGGGCATTTTTGTTCCTGTAGATTCACTAGTTTAATTTGTCTGCTAACAATGTCTAGCAGTATATATAGCAGTCATTAAATTCCCAACACATTCTGTGGTGAAAATGTCAATTTAACACTTTTGGAATAAAATGTCTTACTCGTTTGTCTTGCTATAAGACTAATATTGCAACTAGCAGTTTGCCCATTTAAAAAATTCACAGTTAAATAATATTTCCACACCTTTAGTTAGTAATTGAACAATTTACAGCTGGTTTGGAAATTATGCACAATAAGAATATTCTGCTAAAAAAAAATAACATTTCTTCACACTTTGCGTCTCTCATTTTAGTTCTTTGACTCTGTTGCCTTCTTGGTGTCTTGATAATAAATAAAATAAAACTTTATTAGGGGCATTATTTATTGGGTATTTTGAGAGAAACAGGATATTCAAAGAGAAAAAATTTTGTAATAGATTGTGAGAAGTAAGCATTACGTGCCAGATGTGCTTGAAAAGGGGTAGTTTCTTTAATATTAATGGTTAGATTTACGACATTTAATGATCCTTCAAATATCCCTTTAACAAATGTCCAAAAGCCTCCGGCTAAAAGCACAGATAAAACATCTGTAAGACAATCTGTTCTTAGACTTCCTAGAGAAGCGAGAACAGAAAAATACAGATGCTTCTCTGAAAAAAGACACTTTTACAGCTGATCTTTGTTAAATTACAACACTCTTGTAGATTATCCTGTAGAGTACGACCCATTTAATTTGTACTCTTAAAAAAACACTTTTAAAAGCACACATAACATTTACACCAAACCAACAGCATTTGTTCCTGTTCTGTTTTTCTCTAGCCCCTTTTTGACACAGCCACAAAGACTTTAGATCAATACAGCAAGATAGTGAGTATTGTGCACTTTCTCTAGGTGCTGGGGGCTGGTCTCCGCTGGACAGTGATCATTATCAGTGGCTGCAGGTCGACCTGGGAAGCAGAAAACAGGTCACAGCCATCGCCACACAGGGTCGATATAGCAGCTCTGATTGGACGACACGCTACCGGCTGCTCTACAGTGACACAGGCAGGAACTGGAAACCATACCATCAAGATGGCAACATCTGGGTGAGTAGCATACTTCATAAGCTGTAATAATTACTGTAGGATTTTATACATTAACGTTAAAAGTTTTAGGGTTGGTAGGAGGTTTTTATTATTTATTAACTCTCTTAGCTTACCCAGGCTGTTTTTATTTGATAAAAATAGTTATATTGTGAAATATTATTACAGTTTTAAATAACGTAATGTAATGTGATGACAAAGCTGAATTTTCAGCATCGTTACTCTAGTCTTCAGTGTCACATGATCCTTCAGAAATCATTCTAATATGCTAATTTGCTCCTAAAGAAACGTTTTGAATTGTGTGTGTGGAAAATATCTTCTTTCATCCTAGTGTTCTTGTACTTTATACTGACATCTAATGATCCTTCAAATATGCCTTTAACAAATGTCCAAAAGCCTCCAGCTAAGAGCACAGATAAAACATCTGTAGGACAATCTGTTCTTAGACCTCCAAGAGAAGCAAAAACAGAAAAATACAGATGCTCCTCTTGAACAACACCATTAAAGCTGATCTTTGTTAAATTACAAAAATCTTGTAGATTATCCTGTAGAGTATGATGTCCAATTTGTACTCTTAAAAAACCCTTTTAAGAGCAAACATAACATTTACAAAAAATCAACATTTGTTGCTGTTCTGTTTTTCTCTAGCCCCTCTGTGACACAAGCACAAAGACTTTAGATCAATACAACAAGATAGTAAGTGTTGTGCACTTTCTCTAGGTGCTGGGGGCTGGTCTCCGCTGGACAGTGATCATTATCAGTGGCTGCAGGTCGACCTGGGAAGCAGAAAACAGGTCACAGCCATCGCCACACAGGGTCGATATAGCAGCTCTGATTGGACGACACGCTACCGGCTGCTCTACAGTGACACAGGCAGGAACTGGAAACCATACCATCAAGATGGCAACATCTGGGTGAGTAGCATACTTCATAAGCTGTAATAATTACTGTAGGATTTTATACATTAACGTTAAAAGTTTTAGGGTTGGTAGGAGGTTTTTATTATTTATTAACTCTCTTAGCTTACCCAGGCTGTTTTTATTTGATAAAAATAGTTATATTGTGAAATATTATTACAGTTTTAAATAACGTAATGTAATGTGATGACAAAGCTGAATTTTCAGCATCGTTACTCTAGTCTTCAGTGTCACATGATCCTTCAGAAATCATTCTAATATGCTAATTTGCTCCTAAAGAAACGTTTTGAATTGTTGTGTGTGTGGAAAATATCTTCTTTCATCCTAGTGTTCTTGTACTTTATACTGACATCTAGTGGTGTGGATGCATGAGGTTTGTTTACTGATGTCTTTTGCATTACACTGAAGGTGTTTGATTGTCTTTTTGTTGGTTGGTTTTTTGTTTATCAGTTTTATTATTCATATTTTAATCAAATTGCTGTTCACTTGTTTACATATGAAGGTTTTTTAAATTAGAAAATAGCGTCTTTAATGCATGAAATGTTATGACATGAATTACAAAAGAAAATTAAGATTCAAGATTGGCCCTTGACATATTCGTAAGGCACAGTGGTTATTGTAGCAGGATGTTAGCATACCTCTTTTAAACACTGAGCTCACCAAGGACAGCTGAAGATCAATGAGTCAAGAGGATGCCTTGATTTCTTCCTGGGTGCTTTAATCAACAGTAAGCAATCAAAGAAGCACTTAGATCCAGAGAAAGACCGTTTTACAGACTGTTTTCAGGCTGATGTACCACTGTGCTCAGTACCCCAGCAGAGGGGAGTGGAATTATTACTGGACCCACCAGCGATCCACACAGGGTGGTCTCAAAGGAGAAACGTCATTGTCTTTTATCCTGCACAAGCAAAATGTTGCTCCTGGACATTCTCAACTCACTTCAGAAGATGAATCATTTGATCTGTCCAAGTTAGACTCTAGTACGAGGGAGCAGACTTCAGACTAGCCTAAAACAGCTTTAAACTTTTAAAATAGAGCCCTAAGGTCTCTCTTCCATTTCTTTCTTGGTTAGAAAATCGGGTACAGTGGAATGGACATTTGATGTATTTAATGTTACCTTTTATTGTTATTTTTTATAACAAATTACATTCAATTAAGGTGTTGTTTATTTATTTATTTAATGGCTGCTTATGAAGAACAGTTAATCAAAATCAAAATAATCGACAAGTCACTTTATTATTATTATTATTATTATTATTATTATTATTATTGTTATTATTGTGAACAAGTTTTAGAATGTGTTATTTATAGCAATTTTTATGTACATAATATATAGCCTACCTGATCTCATGACGAAAACGTACTTGTGGTAACTTTTTCGCAAAACGCTAAGTATTTAAGTACATATCATTGCAGTTTCCAACAGAAATTAACACTAGAGGCGGTAAAACCTCAAGCACTTGTAATCGCTTTTGTACACAGTTATTACAGCTCCATATGTTTTGCTTTCCGGACGTAACAAGCTTGCTCATTAGCTCAGCCGGCATGGAATTGGACTTGAGATGCGGAATCCTGGGGTGCGAATCCCGTGAAAAACATAACTCTCAATGAAAGAGCTGAAAGATGAGAGATCGAAAAACATGCTAAAATGGCATGCTTGTGATTGTGTTTTTACATCACATTCGCTTTTGTTCATACTACCGGGTAGGTTCATGTGTAGTGCAGATGGTACGTTATTTTAAATTACAGTTACAGGTATAGCGCCACTCAACAGAAATTTCAAGTCAGAACTGTGGTGACACGTATAAAACCAACGTCACATAAAAAGTACCATATGTACGTTCATCTGTTCCTGGGAAAAAAAAACGAACACTCTTTTAGTACCACTCAGTGGACATTTTACATCGAATATGTAACGTAATGTACATGGCGCTATGTATTTCGCGTCTTGCGAAAAATTTCCCACAGGTACGTTTTTGTCATGAGATCAGGTTGTGTATTGCATAGTTCACAGAAAAAACGAAATAAAATGTATTTTTATATCTCACTATTTGAAGACATACTTGACAGATTAATCAATTATCAAAGTAATTGTTAGTTGCATCACTAGTATCTACAAGCTTATGCTGAGGTTTGCAGGGAATGGCATAAATCTCAGTCTGTTCCTCACAAAACCCTATGGCTTCAGAAGTCTGTATAAAGCAATGTGCTTGTGTAATTTTTCAAAACTGACAGTAAAAAAGTGTATGGAAAAGAACAGCTCAGACTTCCTTTGTGTCCCACAGAAGACAAAATATTACAGGATTCGAACCACATGATGACACATTTTTCATTTTTACCCTAAAAGTTTAGCCTTGGGTAATTTAATCCTCTTGAACAAGCTGAATATACGGTGGCCGTGAAGTGCAAAGCAAATCACAATTCTGAAAACAAAATAACAAATTACAAACGCAAATGCAAGTCTAAAAAACAAAATAACCATTCAGAAAGCACAACAACAATTCAAAAAACATTATAACAAGTCAGAAAACACAATGACAAATCCGAAGACAAATGAACAAGTCAGAAAACACAATGACAAATCCGAAGACAAATGAACAAGTCAGAAAACACAATGACAAATCCGAAGACAAATGAACAAGTCAGAAAACACAATGACAAATCCGAAAACAAATGAACAAGGCAGAAAACACAACGACAAATCAGACAAACCGGAAGAGGTAGGTATAGTTTGAGACAGCGCCATTGGTTTGGGATTACTCACCGCTGACTGGACGAGACATCTGTCAATCAACGTATACAGGAAGAACCAGCCGAAGAACAGCAGAGTCATGGTAGAAAGTTCGGAGATGGTATTAAAGTAGCTCAGCTTAAATGTATTGTATGAATTGCCCTTACTATGGAATAAAAAATACGGAGTGTATATTTACATTTAGTTAAAAATGGCTGTAAACTATCAGCTCCAGTGGCTGGATAAGTTGGATAAGCGAGTGTCATTAACTTATTGAAGCGATCGATCCAGGTTCGATCCCAATCTGTTATTTTGTTTTCAGAATTGTGATTTGCTTTGCACTTCACGGCCACCGTATGAATATGAAAAAAGTGACGTGACATGTGGCAACCCGTACTTGGAATTAGTGCTCTGCATTTAACCCATCCAAAGTGCACACACACAGCAGTGAACACACACACACACCCGGAGCAGTGGGCAGCCATTTTTTGCTGCGGCGCCCGGGGAGCAGTTGGGGGTTTGGTGCTTTGCTCAAGGGCACCTCAGTCGTGGTATTGAAGGTGGGAGAGAGCACTGTACATTCACTCCCCCCACCTACAATCCCTGCCAGTACGAGACTCGAACCCGCAACTTTTGGGTTACGAGTCCGACTCTCTAACCATTAGGCCACGACTTCCCCCATATGATGGTAGATTGACATCTTAAAGTCATTTGAAAAGTCGTGTGATTTAAGAGTGATGTTTCGGTGGTGCAGGATAAAAGTCTCTTGAGCGACGTTTCCTTAAGAGAGCGTGTTGAATCCACTTACTACATTCCCAACAACCTCTGATTTGCCACTTCACATCACTTTTAGTGTTTTGATGAGTGTTCTTCTAGCTGCTTTTGTCTTTCAATAAGAAGCCTTTACATGGGGAGCTGTTAAAAAGGACTTTAATGCAAATAAATGTAGTGTCACATGACAGAATTACGTGTTGCTATGTTTATCTGTTTCTCGGTAATATTCAAAATTTGCGTGGAAAGTGTCACAGCTGTCATGACATCACAGTTACCACTATTAACCATCCTTACATTGCTTTGCAGACACTTTTGAATTATTTTGGTACTCAGTTGGAAAAGAGAGTGAAGCTTTTTCCTTCCCACTTTGTGAAGTGAGGTGCCCTTGGATTTCAGTTCGTCTCTAGAACATTTAAAGGTTGCTGTGCATTACTGTTTAATGCAGGCTAGATCGATAGTATTCGAACATTAAGAAGACCGAAGTGGGAATTACGGATCGTTCCGGTTGCTATAGAAGTGTATAAAATTGGCCATTCAGCATCGGTGAACTGTTGCCTGCGAGACTGACAAAAGTAATGCCA